TAATTTTAGTGCACATGGCACCAAATGTCTATTTTACTCTAAGAGAAGGATGGAGTCACAGACTTTATAGACTGTTCTATCTGCAATGGTATTTCCAACATGGAGGAAGAGCTTGATGATATGTATGACCAGGCAGTGTGGGAGCACCTGGGTGTCCCCTTTCACAAAACCTAAAGAGCACTAAGGCATTCACACTTGAGCATTTTGTAGCTTGAAGCTTGAAGCTCCAAGCTCCAAAGAAGTTCAAACTTAAAAATTCAATTGTTCTCTATTGTGCCTGTTCACACCTGAGCATGCGAATAGGTACCATAGCGAACAATTGATTTTTTAAGTTTGAGCTTTTTTTGGAGCTTTGAGCTTTAAGCTACAAAATGCCCAAGTGTGAATGCAGCCTTAAAATCCTGTGATGATTTTGAAGATTGTTATCGTGATTTCAGCTTTGGCCATCTCGTGCTTGTTAGGTCTCAAGCTGAAAATATCACTTAGTCTGTGAGCAGAAGGGTTTTGAAGACTAGTAGGGTTGCACAGGCCTTCATTATTAGGCTATATTCACACTAGCAACTAGGGCTGGGGCGAATTGTAGCAGCAGTTCTCCCTATGGCTCTGAATGGGCAGGTTTTTTTTTTTTTGTGTAGAGAACAAAAAGCATTGAAAAAATTGTACTCCTATCTGAGCAATTTATTAGATAATAATGGCTTCATGGGAGTGGTTTCTAATTGAAACATCATCTAGCTGGTCAAATGAAATGGTGAAATGTATTTAAACCCAAAAACGAAAATTTTATTTATTTCAGCTTACCAGTTGTGACTGAACTTGATTACCCTTTCCGTTTTTTTCCCTTTTATTTTCACCTGGTGATCCAGCCAGCGAGGCTGGCCATACTGTATATGAGTCTTTTTTTTTTCATTCAACCAGTGGCTTAACCAAAAAAAAAGGTTTCGATTTCCCCATCCACACAATCAAGGTGGATGGAGGAATCCTTTCCTCTGCGATACTGTATTCTGTCAACAGATAGACCTCCCTGCCGTCAGATTACACTGATCAGTGCTTTAGCTGGTGGTGCTGATCGGGCATAAAATAAAACACAAGGTGGTTGTACAGAAGTCAGTTGGAAGACTGACTTCTGTACTTCCACCCTGCCCAGGGGCGGACTGACCATTTGGAAACTCGGGCACTGCCCGAGGGCCCGGGGTCAGTAGGGGGCCCCATGACATGCCCCTGGTACCTTTTTCATAGGCTTTTTTGAGTTTGGGAAAGGACACAGGGGCCCCATGATCCCCTATTGCCTGGGGGCCCCATGAGTTGTCAGTCCGCCCTTGACCCTGCTCATACATGGATCCAAATTCAGCCAGTCCCTGTTGAACCAGCCAATTTCAATCCATGGGCAACTTAACAGACTCCCTGTCCTAGGGTGGCTCCTCTATTTGTGGATAGCAACAACAACAAGCAACTAAAAAAAAACCACAGTGAACCATCACCTCTCAATGCTGCCACTTACCTCAGGGTTTGACGTACACAAAAGTAAGGTTAAACATACTTTTTCCCAACACTCTGGTTCACTGAGGTGGAGCACAACAGCAAGTGTATATGGAGAACACATGTTATATGCATGTCACTAAGCACCATTTTTTTTGTTTTTGTTTTTTTTTTTAAGAAAGGGATTGCACAAGACATTTGGGGACATTTGAATCTTTTTACATCAATACAAAAATTAAAATTTGTTATTTTTGCATTTACATGCATTTTACCAATATATATTTGAAGTTTACAGGGGAGTTTTGAGTCATGAAGCACTTTTGTAAAGAGAGGAATGTGTACAAGAGAATTTGGAAAATGTGTAATCTTAATCTGTTTGCATTATTAGAAAAAAATAATATTTGTTTTTTTATGCACTTACCGTACATGCATTTATCACTATAAATTAAGTCCACATCAGAGGTTTTATATATTTATTTATTGATTGATTTTTTTTTTTGCACATCTTTATTGAGTTGTATAAATATTTTGAGTTATGCTGCCCTTTTTTTTTTATATTGACCACTTTAAATGTGATTGAATAGCGAGAAGAACAGCTACAGTATATAAGCTAAATGGCACTACTGCAAACACCCCCTGAAGCCAGACCCGCTGTACCATCACAGGTGGGTTTTTACAGTGATGCCATTCCTCATTGTGCTGTTACTGGAAACACGCTCTACCTTTTCTCTAGGTTGAATTCCACCATACTGTCCTGCAGATGAGCTCTGCAAAGAGCTGCTAGCAAACCATTTTGAATACTACGACACCAGTAATTACCAGTATGTAGTGCAGCTTCAGGATCCAAGCCTTCTAACAGTGAATAGTTGTCAGCTTGTTTAAATAGCAAGTACATTTATTTGTATTATTTTATAACATGTTTTTTAGCTGCAAGGTGAGTAAAATCACCTTATAATAGTGTAATTTTACATTTGGAACGAAGTATTATTGTCATTACTAATACTGATTACATTGCTGTGCCAATTTCATTTTCACGTATCCAAATACCAGCTGTTTTTAGCTTTGTATTGTAAAAAATGGCCATCAAGTAAAAAAAATGGTATAAAGACACTTTTTATGAAGCTATCTGTTTTAAACAGAACACAAATCCCCTATTTACATTGACCTAGATTACGTAATTTTTCAAACCTTTTGTAATATACAGTATGAATACTACGAACATCATTGACATCTATATTCTTGTTTTTAATGTTTTTATGTGCAGAGTAAATGTGTTCATAATGTGAAGAATGCAGCCTCCCACATTATTTTTTTTGCTAAATGATTTGAATCTGAAATTATTATTTTATGGATATTTAGAAGTCACATTAAGTAGGTCCACGTAAATAGGAGATTTGTAGTTATAAAATTAGCATGCCATCTTCATAATAGCCACAGGGCACTTATATCTTTATTAATTTGTTAAGACTGTAGTCTTGTAGCTGAAGTAAATACTGTATGTGTAAAAACAAACAACATTTTTTATTGGTTGTTTTTTACTGCTTTAGTGGAATTATCAACAATCAGCTGTAATGCTATAGAAAATTGTCTAATGTATAAAAAAGAAGCTAAAAAAGGAATGTGCTAATATAATATTGCCTTTGTAGTTATCATTTTTTAAGACCACATTAAGAATATGGGGTCAACTTAATGATATAAAAAGATTAAAAAACACTTTAACACGTTAAAGCTTATATGCAAACTTAAAGGTTGGGTTTTCATCTACTTTAAGCTGTGGAATGTTTTATCAAAGGTAAAGATATCAAAATGCTAATGCATTTTAAAAAGGTATGGATCATTTTCTGGCAACTAGTAAAGCCCAGAGTTATAATAACTAAGGGCTAAGGGAGAAATATTATAACTTAGGGAAATCAACCAACTGACTTTGGGGGTCATGAAGGATTTCCGCCTGTAAGACAAAATTAGTAACAATTGTACAATTGTCTTCCTCTGGACCACAGCTGCTGAAGTTATGAGAGGCTGAACTTGATGGAGCTTAATGTTTTTTTTGGCCTCATTAACTATATAAGAAGTAGATATTGATTTTTTTTTTGAACAAAGCATACAAATTGAATATGAGTGAATCATAGCTTAGGAAAAGGAGTCACAGACTTTTACTGAGGCAGACATGGTAAGATGTACCCCACAAATTTAATTTCAGCTTTCTGTCCTTGAATTTAAATTGGAATGCATTTTTTATATTGCTTCAGAGACCCCTATAGGACAAGAAAATCAATTTTTCTGGGATTGATATTTGGTTTAGGCCTACACTTTTTTATCATCGTATGTCCATCAAGTGAATTTGTTTGACACTGATTAGCTTAATGTAAATAAACGCGTGCTTTTGGCAATTTCCGTCAGACAGTTTGTGCCATTTTCCTTTTGTGTTGATTATTGACAGATTTTCCCATTCTACCTTGTGCTTTCTTTGCCTTCTAACTAACAACTGCATAAAATTTGAATTGAATAGCCAGTTCAGCCTTTGTTGAGCCCTTTTTTAAATGCTCTTCATTAGAAAGAGCTCTGTATTAACAAAGCTAAGTGTTTTATTAATTTGTGATTATTTTGCAGTGTGTAAATGAATCAGGCACTCAATCTGCAATGTGCTTTTAATTTATTTTATATATATATATTTATATATATATATATATATATATATATATATATATATATATATATACGGTCCAAAAATTCCAAAAGAACAAGATCTCCAGGTTGCAAAAATGATTTTTTTACTTCAAGTGTATAGTCATACAAACATGGTTTCAAGCATTACACTGCTCTTCATCAAGCTACAATTGTAAAGAACTGAAATAATTTTTGCAACTTGGAGATCTCGTTCTCATTTGTTTTTGGATCATTTATATGGGTGGAATTATGGGAGCCCACCATTAACAAGATCCTCAACAGATAAGATTTGCAATATAACAGGAGTTGCCTGCTGCAATTTTTGATTGAGATATATATATATATATATATATATATATATATACATATATATTTTTTTTTTTTACAATAGCTAGTTTTTTTATTTCTTCTAAAAGAAATCAAATGTTCTATTCAACATTCACAAGTCTGTGATGGCCAAAGATTCAATGGGGGTTATCTACTAAAACTGGAAGTGCAAAATCCAGTGCAGCTCTGCACAGAAACCAATGATCTTCCAGGTTTTATTGTTAAAGCTTAATTGAACAAGCTGAAATTAGAAGCGGATTGGCTGCCATGCTCAGCTGCACCAGATTCTGAGTGCACCCATTTTAGTAAATCTCCCCCAATTTTGCAGTGCCCCCTTCAAACTTTTTCTTTTAAAACGTAAAGCCAAGATGCCAAAATAAAGACATAGTTTAATAGACAAACCCCTGGTATACCCATTCAAAGCATTTATAAACATAAATTCTGAGTATAAAACCATCTTCTGAAATTAGATGAACCAAATGTCCTGAGTCTATTTTGGAAGGATAGATTGCTGCAGAGACTGTAGTTGGTAACGTGATGATGTCACATGGCACAGTTAGTTTTTCATGGAAACCTCCATGTGTCATATATTCCATATATGACACATGGAGGTATTATGCTTTGACTTATCTTATATGAGCAGAAGGGAAGGTATGAACATTCTGGTGTTCATTAGACGTTACTACCTCTAATGTGCACTCTGAGCCAGGGGCAGTCAACTCATGGGGCCCCCGGGCAATAGGGGATCATGGGGCCCCTGTGTCCTTGCCCAAACTCACAAAAGCCTAAGAAAAAGGTACCAGAGGCATCTCATGGGGCCCCCTACTGACCCCAGGCCCTCGGGCAGTGCTCGAGTTTCCAAATGGTCAGTCCACCCCTGCTCTGAGCTGAGGTGGAACTAGAAATGGCAGAATTGCTGCCATTGTATTCCATGCTACCAACTCCACTGAACTTGTTATGCTGGTCAGAATCAATTTTAATGCCTGATATCTGAAAATAGCTGCCTGTAGAGCAATAATGTTGATTAGGTTTGGAATTGGAATTAAGATTGATACATGAACAAAAGCTTAGACATTTGCTTTAAAATATACACAGTATATTAAGTCATATTACTATTTAGGGCAACAAATACAGACATGTTGTGTGAATTTATTTTTACATGCACACACATGCACATACACACTATCTTTTGGCCAGCAAGTGAAAATAATATTTTCTAGCAATTTTGTAGATTGTGTTTTGTGCATTGATAGGCTTTAGCCATTAGGCTCAACTCACTAACTATAACAATCCATAATGACTGTTATTTTCAGCTATGACAGTCATTGTGCTCTGCAAATAACAATCACTTGGTTCAAAAATAATGATCTTGAAGGGCAAATGACACACGCACTATAGCGTTGTAAATTGAGCCAATTGCCTCTGTCATTCAGATGAACTCAATAAACAACAAAGGCTGTCAAGCAAAAAAAAAAAAAGATATATGTATATGACATCATCCCTGTCAGTTTCTGGGAGCTACAAACTATTTACAAATACTGTCAATTAAAAATAATACCTGGATCTAAGATCTAAGCATTTGGATGATGTAAAAACAAATATTGACTTTGAGGTTGTCATTCAGACAATTTTTCCTTTAGGCTGTTAAAATATATATATATATATATATATATATATATATATATTCACATACACACAGGACTTTTTTTCAGCGGAAATGCAGGGGGAAACACAGCTTCAGCACCTGTAATGGCAAAAGGTGCTGGGGTGTGCTGAAAGGTCTATCGATGCTGGCTACTGGGGGATCTATTGTCACTAGAGAAAATCTATTTTTGCATGGTGATCTATTTTTGCTGGGGGGGTATATTGTTGCTGGGGGAACAATTGTTGCTGGAAGTTATCTACTGCTGAGGGAGGGGTCTATTGTTGCTATTTGCTGGACAGTCTATTGATGCTGACTTCTGGGAGATGTTGTTTCTGTTGGTGTCTATTGTTGCTGGGGGTTCTAATGTTGTCGATGGGGATCTATTGTCGGTAAGGAGTCAATTGTTACTAAAGGGATCTACCACTGAGGGAGAGGTCTATTGTTGCTGGAGAGTGTTGATGCTCACTTCTGGGAGATCTGTTGCTGCTGCTGGTGTCTATGTTGGTATTTTGTTGCTGTGGTCCATTGTTCCTTGTAAAATATATTGCTGTTGGGGGGGGGGGGGGTGTAGGTCTATTGCCACTCCCTGCGGGTAATCCACTGCTTTTCTTGTTATCAGTAACACATTCCATACAAATGATTTAGCACCACAAGATGATACTTAGCTATGTATTCTCTAAAAGCAGCAGTACTGGGAGGTGGGTAGTGGGTGGAACCAAGAGACATTGCTTGGAGGTGGATGGGCTGCGGAGACAAGGAGTGACTCATAAGTGGGGAGATCCTGTACCTATTCTCTGAGAAAAAATGCTGCATATATAAAGTTATCACTTATCAGCACCTATTATCAACTTGTTCCAACATAAAAATTTTGATAACAGCAGGGGCTTTGACGCCAGGAGGACCCATACTACTTCCGCTTGGGGGTTAAAAAAATTACATTTCAAAATGTTTGATTTTGACCAGAAAACCCTAGGAAAAGGTAGAATTACTTAAAGCAGTATTATACCCAAAACCAAAAATGTAATGACTATTAGATGTGGTGGCTGCTTTACTTTTCTTTTTTTTTGTAGGCTTTTTTCCCTGTTTTCACCTGGTGATCTGGACAGTAACATACCACCTTTACTAGTGCCTCTACTCTAGATGAAGGAGCACAAGGGGCACATTTGGACAGCAACATTATCAGTCTGGTGGGGGGGGGGGGGTATGGAGTGTTAGATGCACAAGCAGATTTAAATACAATCAAATTGAAGCCAATTACAGCACTTTTTTTTTTTTCTTTTGGTTAATGGTTTTATATATATATAAATAAAAGCTGAAGATTGTAAGCAATCCTGTCAGTGGTAAATGGTTTGTTTCAACACTCTTTAATGGCTATATTTGTAGGACAGCTTGTTCTGTTGAAAAAAAAACAGACTTACTGGCTGGATCACCAAATGACAATAAAATAAAAAAAAAAATCTGAAAAAGTTACCAAATGCAGCCACCACAGCTAAAACCGGTAAGCTGCAATTTATTAAATGTTTGCTTTTGGGTTTATTACCATTTTATCTGGTAATAGAATCATCTAGCATCAAAATTGTGACACCGAGCATCATTGCTACTACAGTGAAGAAGTCTTTCTTTCATTGTTGGGTTAGACAGCTATGATTGGGGGTTATGTACAGGTAGTGAGAGTCCACATGAGTGCTTCAAGATTCAAACTGACCACAACCTACACATTTACACCATCAAGCACCAGCTTCATTCCTACAAAAATGTTCTAGTTTCTACAACACCTACTGTAAAAACCTTGGGGTTGATTTACTAAAGGCAAATAGGCTATTCATGTTGCAAGGAATTTGCCCCAGAGCTTAGTGAATGAGAAAGTTTCACTTCCAAAAAAAAATAAATTAAAAATACAAAATTTTTGCTTGCACATGATTGGATGAAGGAAGTCAGCAGAGCCTCATTCACTAAAGGCGGCCATAAATTGATCAAAATGTGGCCTCTATAAAACCAGGCTATTGGAAGCGATGCTGACGAGTGTATTCTGATGGCGGGGAAATCTCCCTGCTGTCAACATACAATACTGTTGCGTATAGTATTCTCCTATTCATGGCCTACTGGTTGAACGGAAAAAAAAATGACTGGTGTATGACCAGCCTATGGTCTAGGGCAAATTTCCATGCAAAGTGCAACCTTTATTGCAAAAGGAATTTGTTTTTAGTAAATCAATCCCTTTCACAAAACATAACAGTTATACTCACAGAGATGCTATGAAAGCCTCAAACATTATATTCAGTATCTTCAGAATCAGGCCTGGTAACGTGAAGGCCTAAACGGCTTTAGAAGGGATAGACTCATCCTCTTTCTGCAAGCCTACATTGTGTCTAAACTCCAAAACATCGCTTCTAAATTATTTACTCTCATCCCAGATAAACAATCTTCTGGTATAGTTATTCCTTGGAATAAAGTTAATATGCTCCAGTATGGGCATATTATGGATTCATATACACATCACAGTTTGCATTATCATATACTATAGTGCTGAGCTTTGACAAAACCATCACCTTTAAAACTTCTTTATGGTCTACTCATATACATCGATTTCCATTTTATGCAGTATTTGATCTACATGGTAAAATGGGAACTTATCTTAGAATGGGACATACCCTTACTCCATAACAATGGAGCTTGGCTGCAATCCAGCCTTACTGGGGAATGGTCACCTTTATTCTTACTCAGGTGTTTTCTGGTCCTGTACTATCAAAGCATTACATTGTCATTCAGGCCTTTCTTTGAAATATTTATTGATCAAACAGTGAAAACTGGCAAAATGTATTTAATGACAGCTCACTATGTAATCTCATTTACATGGAGGTCAAACATTCTGCCTTCTAAAGGCTTGTTTACCTTAGGAGTAGCCATTTGACAGACATCGAGCAGCCATTATGTCGCCTCCTCACTGCTTGTTTTGACCCTTATACTGATGAATCCATATATATAAATTACTTTGTTATCTAACAATGGTATTGCTGAATCAATAGGTCTTAGACATGTGTGGTTTGTTTCATTCCTAATTGAAATCTGGATGAAATTCCCCTTATTCAGAGTTTCGGATGTTTCCAAATTTCTGAATACAACAGTAACAAATTTCAATGAATCCGAAGTAAGCATTAACAAATTAATTTGTTTCATGTGGATATTAGAAGCATCTGAACAAAATGAACGATTCAATAATATCCGGCTCCCCCTGCCCTAAAGCACCCCCCCATGTTTAGGGCATGTGGCCTGGTATGGTTCAGAAGGGAGGGGTGGTGCTTGCCCCCCCCTTCCTGACCTGCCAGGGTGCATGCTCGGCTAATGGTCTGTTATGAATCTTGGGGGGGCTCCCACGCTGTTTCTTAAAAAAAATAATAATTTCGGCCATTTTTTTTTTTTCTGCTGTCAGCGAGGAATCCTGTTGACGGCAGATAAGTCATGGTTGTTAAGGATGCAGCAGGCAGGAGGCTGCCCCACTCCTTAACAACTGGCTACTCTTTACAATGAATTTGAATGGATTCAATATTTTCAATTCAAATTTGATTCAAATGCTTCGAATCCATTGGGAAATAAATAAATAAATGGAAGAAAACTCATTTTTTTAACGAATGCAATGAAACAAAATTAGTAACTAAACTAATTTTCTTGTTCTGCACATGTCTAAAAGGTGTATTGCTCCATTGATCTGGTCCTTAAGGGGTATACAGGTGCAAGAGCTGAACTGGTTAAATTCAAATTAAGTTGTAGAATGATGTAAATAGACATTTGAAATGGCAGGCATTCTGCTGTAAAACGCAAAGCTTATAAATAATGTTTTCATTTAAATTTTTATTCTAGAGAAAAAATTGTCTTTGATTCATCATGATGGATTAATTTGGATAAAAAAAATGACTGTTTTTGAAGGTAATTACAATTTAGTTTATATTGCAGCAATTTTAATTGAAGGCATAAGTCTAAATTAAGATTTGGCAACGCATTGTGGTGTTAAAATATAGTTAGTGAGTTTGTACACAATGTACTTCCGTAGACTGTGATTTTAGTTTATGCAGTGATAGTCCTGTAATGCAGTGTTTTAAGGTTGCTAAGTTGTTTTGTTCTTTTGTTCTGTCAGAGAGATTAAGGAAACAATTTGACATATACTATATTGCCAAAAGTATTGGGACGCCTATATAAAAGCAAGGTTAATAATATAACTTAGATTACAAAATCTTTAGTTTT